GCTGTACTGTATAAATATGTGATGCCTGTGTGGTGAAGAGGAGATGCTGAGACAGACTGTGAGACACTGGGTTGGGACGAAGCAGCAGCTGGGGAAGAAGAAGCTGTTGTGGGAGTCTGGGTGTCTGACAGGGTACTACTGTGTGTCAGAGTACCAACCTGAAAGGTTCAGGGGTCTGTTGGTTAGCCAGAACTGATGGATTCAGGGTCTGTGCTTTAAGTTAAAGGTTCTAGGTGAACCAAACTGTATGCTGGTGTGTGTGAAAATAAGCCACGTTACTTTATTTTATTCACCTGATTGTTTTATTTACCCTGTTTGTATCTAAAATAAACCTTATTCTTTTATTGTTTAAAAATCCATCCCTGGTCTGTGTGACTTATTATAGGGAATGGTTGGTGGCAGCTTAGTAACTGTGTGATAGATCCCAGTAGGTCTGGGTTTGTCACATTGATTGGTGTCCAGCGTGTGGGATACGACTGGTCCAGTTGTCCAGCGGTCCAGCAAAGCCTTGGCAAGTGTGCCCAGAGCAAGGGGGGTCTAGTCAGGGACAGTCTGAGGCGCGTAGGTAATCTTCTAGGTGTACCTCACGGGGAGGTGCACTAGTAGAAGAACGTGCCAACTGGGGAGACTTAGATTAAGGTGCTCTGAGGCAGCCTAGTTTTGGCGGGAAAAAGCTGAGGAAAAACTGCGTAGCAACAGGGAATGGTTGGTGGCAGCTTAGTGAAACTCTGGCATATCCCAGTAGGTCTGGGGTTGTCACACCATCTATTTCTGGAGTACCTGGGTTCAAAGTTCCCCATAGGAAATGAGGGGGTTGGCCACAGAAATAGCCCGTGCCAGGATTTCTCTAGTCATTCCTTCCATTGCACCTTTACTCAGACAACCTTAACAGCTAGCATTCATGTGATTGCTAGCTCTAATCCCTCACAAACATACACATTTTTTCCAGCAATATTGTCCTTTCTGGTTAGTTCTGCATTCTCATTATATGTGTGTGGTAGGATAGCCTCAGTTTATGCATTTTTGCTCTAATGAGAGTTCAGGCTTGACCGCAGTTCGTACCCACTTTTCTTCCTTTCTGGCTGTCTGTGGTATCTGTAAGGCTCTCCTCCAACACCACATTTCAAATGAGTTGATTTTTTGCCCCTGTCTCTCCTCATTGTCTTTCTTTAAAATAGTATGGATGATTTTGACCTTCGTTTCCAGTGACAACCTTTGCTAATTCTCAGTTCTCTTCTTTCAAATGGTGAGGGGGCATCCTGAGAAAACATGCAGGCAACATGTTTGTCAAGCATTTCATTAAGCCCAAAACAGCCCTTTAAAATATTTTGGCACAGAGGAACTTGAGCCATATCCAAGCTTCTTTGTGGTTCTGCATTCCCCCAGCATCCATAGTACATATCATGTACTTATCTTCTGGGGTCCTCTACTACTGAGCAATTCTACGTGAGGGAAGTTGCTCTTGGAACTTTTGTGTAGAGTACATGTACCAAAATCTCAATTCTTCAAAAAGTCCTCTGGTTTATGAATGTGGGATATCATGCTTCTGTATCCATGACTCAGAATGCTAAGAAATGGCTTGATGTCACTACACAATATTTTGCCCATGTTGCCAGCAGGAAAAAGGATGCCAGACTTTACATAGCAAAGAGCAGCCTGAATCCTGATGACACTCATGTCAGATGTCAAATTGGTCTACAGCATTCCCACTTGTGCTAACTACTATTCACACAGACACTAAGCAAGGGAAAATCCCAGGCCCTGACTCCTTTTTTCATCATTTAACCACTTTTCACTCAAACACATGCAATTGTCAGGGCTGTTTTTCAACAGTAAATTCATTGGGGATTGATAATCCAATACCTTCTGGGTCCATAGACATGTGGTTAATCTAAAAGACTAATTTCCTCTAGGCATTTAGATTACTTTGTGGCTTCAACCAATTGAAGTATGTACAGTATTTACTTGTGCTCCAAATTGTGAGCGATTGACAGAATAGAGTTTAGGCCAGCCTAGTCTGAAGGAAATGCTGTTCACGGCTTTTTGGTTGACAAAAATTATTTGTATTATTAGAAATAATAATACTTAATAATACCTCATACCTAAGGGCCATTTAATTTAAGAACACTTGTATAATCCCACCTTATTATTTGAAAAGTAACACTTTATTTTTTTGTGTGTGTGTGTGTAAATAACTCCCTTAATAAACTTGTTACACTCATCTTATTTCTAGTGATGATGTCAGTCCAAAGTCTATACTGTAGGGATCATGTCAGTTGGTTTCTAAAATGAACTGTGTGTTGATTAGTGATGGTTGTTGCTAAAAGTTTCATAGCTAGGAGAGCCCCGTGCCAGGGAATTCCATGAATCAAAGTCTTCAGATCTCGATAATAGAAACATAGGTGGCAAACTAACATGTTTTTTTCTATATTTAGTAACAGTAGTGATATTGCTTGCCTGGATTATGTAGGATTTTGCACAAATAGTCTCTCAACCAATTACTGACAAGTGTATTAGAATCCATTTTTGAGTCTCTTGGTAAACTTATTATACTTAATAAAAGTTTGTTGTTCAAAATGGCCAGAAAAACTGTTTACAGAATACTGAAGGAAAGAATGGGATCTTAAACAATGAAAAAACTTATAGAGCTGCTACATCAATTTCAATGCAGTCATGTGTGCAACCATAATTTTTTTTATAGAAAGGCACAGTGGATTTTGGCTCACTGATTAACCAGACAGACAACATACAGTAGATTTATGAATGAATTGGGATATCTGGGAAAATATGCCGATTAATAGTTTTACTTCATGCTATATGCATTTTTCTTTTTTATCAGGTTAAAATAGCATAAACATGTTCGAGTAGCAGTTTTAAATATCCACAAAACTATGTTAAATGTAAAAACTTTTGGTACATCAAATCACTCTTCATACGGCTGTTATCTGCCTCCCCCCCGAGGACTACTATTCAGAAACACAACAGGTGCTTGAATAAGAAATGATGGCAACACATAGGTGACGATAACCCAAACAGGAAGTCTAATTCTCCCCATCCCTACTATGATACTGAGGGGGAAAAATCATCTGCCCTGTCTGAGATGTATATAATTAACAATTATGTGCTGTCATGTAATTCCAACATATGGCTACCCTTGCCAGGGTTTTCTAGGCATAAAGTACCCAGAAGCAATTTGCCAGTTCCTTCTTATGGGTGAGCTCTGGGATTGTGTAGCCTGCCCAGGCCAGCTGTTTTTCCCAGAAGGCACAGCAGGGAATCAGATTCCCAGCCTCTGCCTCCACAGCCATGTACTCCAATTCACTGAGCTAGCAGGCAGTAAGTACAGTAATAGGGCTGGCAGGAATATTTCTGGCACAATTTTCTACCAAGATCTTAGCCTAGTCAGTCCCCCCGCCCCCCCAAAAAAAGATTGCTGTGGGAAAGAGAAAACACTCGCCCTGTAATTTGTGCTTTCCACACATTCTTAATTTAAAGAAAAACATTTATTTCACTACAAGCAATATATTTGACATCACATGAAATTATGCCCCCAAAATTGTGGGAAGCAGAGTGACATTTAATTATAGCATTCACCACACCAAACAAGCCAGATTCAGGTACACAGAGCACACACAACTTTCAGAAGTTCACATTGCCATGTTACAAAATATAATCCACGATAAAGAATCTAAAGGTATTGGATTTTCCGGCTCTGTGTGTGTGTCTGTGTGTGTGTGTGTGTGTGTGCGCGCGCGCGCATGCATGCATGCACCACACACACACACACACTCCGTGTGTACAGAAACAGAAAAGGATTGTAAAGAAGTTTTAAATCTTTTTAGATGTTATCTCAGTTATGATCAAAGGAAATCTTCGTAATGATTATGCCGTCACTTTTATTGTAACTGAAACTCTGTTGCTACATTAATAAAGCAAAATAAATCAGACAAGACCTCAACGATCATTTACGATTTGTCCTGGGTTTAAAGGAATCCTAGCCAGAGAAAACCTGTACAAAATAGCTGCTTTTTTCATGTTATGAGCATTTATAAATTACTAAATGAGACTACCATCAGTGAAATAAGAATCCTAAGAAATCAGCAGCTCAGATATTGTACAAATGCTACAGTCTTTATTGTGGATTATATTTTACAAGATAGAATATAGTTTCTATTCTAACATTCCTTCAACAAGCTAAAGATGGAATACTTACTTTCCCCCTCTGTACCTCACCCTTTTACATTCATGACAGTGCTGTTAGAGAAATCGTGACTGACAATATATATATTTTTTGTTCACCACGCATTTTTGTTCACCACGCATACATGATACACGGACACACACACACACACACACACACACACACACCACAAAATGGTTCCTAGAGCAGTGATAAGCCAGTTTCATGTGCCACAGAAACACTGGACTTATTTGTGCATTCAAAAGGATGAACTCCATTGTCTCCCGAAGGGGAAAGTGCTCTGCACAAACTCAGATATATTCTATATTTTTCCCCTCTAAGAGGCAAAGGCACTCTACAAACAATGAAATAAACATAAATAAATTTTGAAAACTGCTAAGCAACCCTGAACATAAATCTTTAATAACACTCAAGCATCTGGAAATGGGAATTGGACTGTAATATAAATTTATGATTTTTCTTTGATACAAATTTCCTCTGAGTTTGAATATTTGGGGTAAGCCATAATTGTTGAATGTACATTTTACCATGCAGAAAATCAAAGGGACAGCAACAGTGCCCTGTAATAATTTTGGTCATAACAGCTTAAAGCAAAGTCTCCATTATCACATGTATTCCTTGGTCTAACCAGAGTTTTGTTCTCACTGCAGTGGTAACTACGTTATTGGGCTGTAGAATATCCAACTCCAGACAGAGTGCCACAAGGACTCTTATTTGCACAAGGATAATGTGTGGCTAAATCAGACTGTCAGTTTCAGCTAGAGCAGAGTAGAATTAAGTCAATGAGAGTTACAGTGTATAGATGTTGACTTACTAAGTCCCTCTTTATTCAATCAGTCTACTCTCGGGAATAACAATTGGAATGATCCCTAAATATTAAAGAGAAAAATTCTAGTTTAGCCTTATCCCTGACATCTGGTTTCTATATAGAAATCTAGTCCGTATGACAGAGCATTCAAAAAACCTCTGTCTGCAGTTTGAAATGATACTGTCAGTACATAAAAAAAAGTAGCCCAGTTTCCTGAAAGACACTCCTGAAGATCCCGTTCTATGTGGGCAGCACTGAGTTCTGGATAGATATGCATCTATCCAGATCGTGAATTATGAATCAACATTTCACTGTACAAAATAGAGTACATCTGATAATCTAGTAATGGGAATTTAGATCAAACCTTGTAACATTAAGGATATGGTCCAAGGCACAGGTACTTCAGTGAAAGTTACGTATATAAACATGTTCCTCAATAATGTAATTACAATCAGGCTGTTACAATATCTAAATTGTAATTACTATTTTCATAATTCCAGCTTCACGTGTGGCATCAATAGCTTGTCCTAATTACTATATGGCCATTTCAACAAGGAAAGCTGTCACAGGACAAGATTATGTAATTTCCTCTCAAACGCCCGTTTTTATTTGGCCTTCTTTTCTAGGTACAATATAATCCAAAAAGATTTAGTTGACCCCAGAATGTTCCAAAGATACCTACTCTGTAATTTCCATCTCATTTCCATTTAGTTATGAAATAAAGGAAGTTGAAAATGTAAAGTGGATTGAGACTTCAGAAAACAATTAAGAATGCTTTACTAGAGAAGCAAAAATATAGTTTTCTTAATCATCATTAGTCTCTAGAATCAACAGAGGAAATATCACTATTGGCAATATGATGACGTATAATGTATTTTGTTCTCATTAATAACACCTTGTAAAAATTTCTCAGAATGTTTGCTAACGAGCAGTGTTTATTTACTTTCTTCAAGTTAAGATTTGTTTTGTCTGGTGATGGCCATTAACTTAGGTGGGCTAAAGAAAACCTTAAGAAAATTAAGTGAGTTGGGTTGATTCGTGAAGATGTTGTATATGATTGTTAAATGAAACTGCCATGTTATCTTTAGAACATCACTGCGTACCAGATGCTAGGACTGACTGAGAGCTATCAAAAGCATCTGGTTGGCTGCTCTTAGAGAGAGCCATATTGTAAGAGTCTTGGCCTGTTCTAGGCAGGAACTACACATTTCAGATAACCTACAGTAAGTTTTACTATGGTTTATCTGAAAAAAGGTGTGACATTTCTTTCACATGTCCTGATTTAATGTGAATCCTTGCATTAAGACAGGCTATGGAACAGTCTCCAGCCCCCACACGTTGGCGAGCACTGGGAGGTTTCTGGATGCTACTTAAAACCACCAGGGTTCGGGCAGCCTCACCTGCTTGCCATTGAGGGGGAAAGGAGCTACAGGAGTTGCCTCCCTGACAAAAACAACCCCACCAGCCAGCTGTAAAGCCTCCATGGCACTGGATGGGCAGTGATGCTGTCTTGTCTGAGAGGAAACTTCAATGGTTCCAATTTTTGCCACATTACAAGCCCTCACCCTAGAGCTGTCAAAAGCCACCCAGCACTATCTGTCTGGAACAGGAGCCCCAGTGCAGTTTAAAAATAGCAGCAATGCATACTTTTCAAAACTGCATCAGGGCATCGTGTGAAATGACCAAAGTCACATGAAGTGAGTTCAGTCCTTTCTGAAAATGTAGTTGTGGCCCCAGCAAAGCACAAATAATTACCTATATACCATTTTTGTTACAGCTTTAGAAGTATTTGTTTATCATATGTTGTTGATGATAAATTTGCAAAAATATCAGGGATGCCACAAGACACAATATTACTACAATTTGCCTGTTGCCTTTGCTTCAATCTTCAGGTAAATTAAGTCTTCCGCTGTTAGCCATTACTATTGCAGTTTCTGTGATTGCAAAAGTTCATTTGCTAACATTGTGATGTGCTTCCAAGCAAACTGGATATGGGTGGACTCCACGGTGCGGGCACAAATAGCGAAACGCAGCACAAATTTTCCTCTCATGTCACATGGAACAAGATGAATCTTCCTTGCACTGTTTATGCTTTTAAGAAGTGCTTCATTGAGTTCATTACTGCCCTAGAACGAGAAACATGCAAGTAGAGCTGTTAACATAATACATGCATTTGTATTAGAACCTAGAACCTCTGCTAGCAACAGTTTCAGTGAATGAAGATGTAGATAATCCAATGAACGAAAATGTGATTAATCTACACAATGGGCAAGGATGGCTATACACTGTTAAATATACTAGGTATTATCATATACTGTGTATTTACGCAAGAGGTTCAAGTCCTTTTTCTTTAAAAGGAATACTGAGTTCTGTTGATAGCATTATTACATTTTCAAAATATAGAAAATAACCACAACAAAAGTTTGTCAACATGCTTTCTAGCTTGTACAATTGTATATGAATGCAATTAAGCCTGGATTTTAAATTTTGGGCATAACTACATGTTGGAGAAAAATTGTGTGGAATTTGCAGTGATTACTGTCATTGTGCATGACGCAAACTCTACTGTGATTTAAACATTGAGTCAATGTTCACTTTTCAAACTGTATTAGGACTTCCATTCCTACTGGCCAGGGCTGAGAGGCTTCAAGCTACTGACAACACTGGGACTGGAAACCAGAGTCCTTGCCCGTTCAACATGCAGCAGAAATGGAGCTACTGGAGAACTGGCCAGTGCTGAGTCCTTGCCCGTTCAACATGCAGCAGAAATGGAGCTACTGGAGCTGCCCCTTTGGCAAGAACAGTGTTGCTGCCTGGCCAGTTTGTGGAGGGCTCCTGGCTACTTCAGCACTGGCCAGCTGGCAGTATTGTTCTTGCTCTCGCTGGGGTGGAGAGCAACCCCCCGCAGCTCCATTTTCACCAAGAGTCAAGCAAGCAAGGAATTTCCGCTGCTGCCCTGACCTCCTAGCACTTGCTGGCTGGCAACACAGGATGTGTGTTGTAAGTAGGCTCATGCCTGTTTGCAAAGAACCTGCAGTTAAAAGCTTTATTGTGGATTATGGCAGATGGATTGTTCTTGACTTTGTGGTGCATCTCTGTTTTTCTCCCATGCTGCCATTACCACCCCCCCAAACACACACATACACAATTATTTTGTCCAGTCATTTATTCCTATGAGTCAAATGTCAATATGCACTGTGACATATGTATCTGCTCACTGACGCAGGATAGTAGGCAAATCAAAGGCTCTGAAGGAACTGATGATTTGCTTGGAACATTGCTAGTGAAAAATAACTAATTTCAATGCTACTCCCATCTGAGATAGGATAGCCTCAAAATAAGTCAGTTGTTGTTTGCATTGAAAGGACTTGAGGACTATTAGCAGAGCACACTGGCTAAGGACCCCCTCCAGCTAGGTTGCTGATGATGAAAATGCTGAATTGGGTTTTCCTTGTTTGGTAAAGGCTAAACCAGCAATATTTTTTCAGATTTATAAACCTGAGTAAATAAATAAAAAACATGAATGAATGTTTCCGTAAGAAAGGGTTTCCTCCCCTCATCTTTCTATAGATTAGTGACAGCTGTTAGCTACTGCTCTGAGTGTAGTGGAAGAGCATTTCTGATGAAATAAAGCACAGCAACACAAGAACTGTCATATTGGATCTGACCACTGGCCCAGTACTCTTTGTTTCCTCCCAGAGGAAAGTTCTTCCTAACCTAAAGGGCTGATTGGTTTATACTGCTTTGTAGACTTTGGCTGGTATCCTGTTGGGCAGTGGTTCTTAACCTTTGTTGCTCAGATGTTTTTGAACTGCAACTCCCAGAAACCCCAGCCAGCACAATTGGTGGTGAAGGCTTCTGGGAGTTGCAGTCCAAAACTCCTGAGTAGCCCAAGGTTAAGAGCCAGTGCTGTTGGGAATCTTAACAAAATTAGACCTAATAGGATTTATAAAACCCTTGACTCACCAATTCAGCAACTGAGACTTCCAGTTAGGTTTAGTCCATTGTATTCACGTATCTTAACGACAAATGCACTGCCATCAGACTGGGTGGTTTATTAGAGTAGAACAAGTTACAAAGGACATAGGATAGCCCCCAAAATGGCCTGTCAAATCCCTCCTAATCTAACTTTAAGTTTCAAGTATCTAAGTTTCAATGCCATGATGCTATTATTTTCCCCATACCACCCAAGTGCCAGCAAATGCACATACAGGGGTGGGGAAATGTACCGTATCAGAGGACCCTTCCTAGAAATTACGAAGAAGGAAAATGCACATAGAAGTGGTACTACTGCTTTTGGCATCAGCCCTTTATTAATTGTGCTGTTCCACATTTGCAGTCTACATAATTTATTATGTGGAGGATTTTATTTCTTTTTTAAGATGTAACTGTATCTATTTTTAAGTAATAAAAAAGCTCTTTTCCTTGAAATTAGATGGAAAACCTAAAAGGGAAGAGGACCTGGATGATGCCAGAAAGAGAAATGGCAGCTTTGCTTGGTAATGAAGAGCAGTCAAAAGGTTAATTTTCTCAATTTCTTTGCTTTTTGTAAACTATTTTCACCTTGCTTAATCACCTCTCTTAAATCTTTGCATATCACTTCAGGCATCTGTTCAAGCAAGCGGTAAGGTAATGATAGCCTAATATCACACAATATAATCTCTCCAAATGTCAAAGCCAGCAATGTGGAGGGTTAATGTGGTTAAGGGTTAATTTTTGTCCTCCTTGTCATAGCTACAGATGATCAGTATTAAGAAAGCTGATGATTTTTTTATGGGAGTTGAAAGAATGGTATTAAAACTAGCAGATTCAACCACTGTCTGCTATTTATTTCCCAAAGCAAGATGATAATTTTTGAGGCTTACATGGGTGTTTAACTCACTGTTTGGTCTGCTGCATGGAGGGAGTGGTTCACTCCTAAAAATGGTGACCAGACAATGGCTTTGTTGGGGAGAACCAGCTTGCCCCAGAGCAGTCCTATCCACACATTTCTGAGCCCCTGTCAGAGGCTTCTATTCTGGGGCTATAGGTAGGATCAGTCTATTTTGATCCATTTCTAGTGTATATAATCACTGGAAATGGACCAAAATTATCCTCTCTCAAATTTGCCAATACAGTGGTACCTTGCTAGACTATGATAATCCGTTCCACTGAAATCACTGTTTAGCGAAATCATTGTCTAGCGAAAAGCATTTCCCCATTGGAATGCATTGAAACCTGTTTAATGCGTTCCAATGGGGAAGAATCGTCATTGTCTAGCGAAGATCGGCCATAGGAAAGCCGCTTTGCGAACCGCCGATCAGCTGTTTAAATCGCTGTCTTGCGAAGCTTAGGTCCCGAAAATACCTGTTTGCGAGCATGGGAGGAGCTGTCAAAATCATCGTCTAGTGAAATGGGGGGAGCTGTCAAAATCATCGTCTAGCGAAAATCGGTTTGTGAAGCAGGGACCAAACATGTCCAGCGAAATTCCCCCATAGGAATCACTGTTTTGAGAATCGCTATAGCGATCGCAAAAAGTCAATGTCTAGCGAAAAACTGTCATGCAGGGTAACTGTCTAGCGAGGCACCACTAGCAAGGCAGCACCTCGTGGCGCAGTGGTTAAACTGCTGTACTGCAGCCAAAACTGTGCTCACAACCTG